AAGTTGTTCTAAAGAAGAAAAGTAAGTTATTATTAATTAGTTTGATTATTATTCGTTTATGTCAAAACTGAAGAGTTTGGCTTCAAACTCAAACATTTAATGAAGACTTTACTTTCTTTACTTTTATACAGATGTTTCTACTCCCTAAACTACAACTCCCATGATGCCGCTGTCACTAAGAACTTGCAGTTTGTATAAATGCCACCAGGTGGCGTCGGCGTACTTTAATATGTGTTTATACAGTTTGTGTCAGCTGCTGTTTGAAGGTGTAACTGAGTACATTTACTCAAGTACAGTTTACACTTTACTGGAGTATTTCTAATTCTACTGCAGCTAATATTGTAGTTTGCAGATTATTATTGATTAAGATAAACTTTATTGATCCTTGGGGGAAAAAATCACAATCCATACTTTTATACTCAATGAGTTTAACTCCTTTAACTGTTTATTAACTTAAACGATTGAAGCATGAAAGATGTTTGATTTGAGTAAAAGTAACTCAAGTATTTATTGATAAAGTAACTTCAGTAAATGAAGTTAATTGTATTAATTTGATTCAGTTAATTGAAGTTAAACTCATATACAGAATTTCTCCAAACTTATTTAAAAAGTGTGAACAGACTTTATCTGAATAAAGTCATTTAAATCTTCTTTATATAAATCTTCAAACTTTGGGATCATTAATTATTTGGATGCATAATTAACACTAAATTACAATCTAAGTTCACTCAAACAAAACAACTGAGTTGCTTCAACAATTAAGTTAGAATTTAATCATGTTTTAGGATTCTTTAGGATTCATTTCTGTTAACTTTTATTAAGATGTGTTGTGAGGTTCAGTGGGATTTCTCCAGGAGCTTAACTGAAGTAAAACAGACTGTAAATAACTCCTCAGTGTTTGCTCTCAGCCATCTGTCACACAAAGGAAAAGCTCCTCACCCTCAGCGTTACGGCCCATTAACCTCCATCAGGAGGGGTGAGGAAGACGACCTCCCCCTCTCTCCACAACCGGGAAAGAGGTGTCGGTTAACAGCCCTCATCTCTGTTTACTGAAGGGTTCTGAATCTGTGGGGAGGCAAATAACTCAAGTTACAAAGTGAGCTAATAAAGAAAACTACAGCAGTCAGTGTTTATAAATGAGCAGCTTTAACTTTAACACAGTAACTACACAATGGCATCATGGGAGTTGTTGTCTTCATTCTTCTAAATGTAGAAACTACAACCACATACACATTCTTTATGGTTAAAAGATAAAAAAAACAATATAGGCATTAATGTATAGTACATATATATATATATATATATATATATATACATTTATCTATATCTATACCTATATATATATATATTATTATAATTATATATATTATATTATATATAGATTCATCTTAAGAGGAACATGAACGTCTGATTTAATCCATCGTCCAGCTGTTGTTAGCACACTAACTCTCTGTGAGCATACCTGCTCTATATACGATCTTGTGTACAGGTGAGTTTGAGGTTTTGAGAGTTTCTCTGCAGGATCTTTTCCTGAATGAAACTTTGTCTGGATCAGATTCAGAGTTTGAGGGAAGCCAGAGATCTCTGAGGGGGAAATGGATGATATTTCTGCAGCAAACAGGAAGGAGACGGACGAGGAGACGCCAGCGGCTCTTCACGCTGATTCAATTTAGTGTGTAACAGAATACACAGCGGTTGTATGTTCGTACAGTCAGCCAGAGGCAGTGAGATGATGTATGGAGCCTCCCGCCGTATGTACGACGTTTCCTCCCATGTTTCCTCTCTGAGGGCAGGAACCGACACAACCAGTGTGTGATAGATGGCCCCGAACCCGCCTCGCTACCCACAATTCATCTCTTTCTGTCCAACACACACACACACACATATTCAACCAGTGGAGGACTGGGACTCGTGTGTTATAAACATGTAGGACTACAGTACCGAATGTAGGAGTATTTGCACAATGACACTTAATGTCTGCAGCTGATTCAGGAAGCAGATGTTACATGAATGCAGGTTAAACAGAATATTCTTTATTCCTCTCTCCATCTACTCATGAAACCTGGTTATGTTATGCCTTTTCTATCCTGGAAAATGTAGCACTGATGCACATTACAGAGTGGGTTTACTCCGTATACCTGCATATACCCTGCAGTACACCACTCATGTGCTAAGCTAATCTATGTTGAAAACACAAACACATCCTGGAGATGTTTAAAGATAAAAGCAACATATATATACCGTAAAACTTATGATAATAGCCCGGGGCGTTAATTTCCTTAAATCACTGAACTCCCCCTGCCTTTATTGGGGACAGGCCTCTATTTGGGACAGGCCTTTAATTCCTTTAGCACTAAACTAAACTAAACT